GCACGCCAGGAGAGCCTACTGCCCCGACTGGGACGAGAAGGACTGGGCCTGTGGGAGGTGGCGCAGCAGCAGCGGCAGCGGCAGCCGCCGCAAAAGGCGGAGGAGGTCGCACAGCGGCGGCCGCGAGAGCAAGCACTGCAGGTTCGCCTCCTCCACGGCGCCGGGCAGGTGGGTGAGCGGCGGGCGGCGGGCGGCCGGGGAGGGAGCCCCGGGTCCTGGTGGAGCGGCCGCCGCCGCCGCCCTCCGAGCGCCGCGCCCGCGGCTGGGCCGAGCCGGGAGGCTGGGGGCTTCCTAAGCTGCCCCCACACAGGAGGACGGAATTCCGTGGTTCCGCGTGGCGTGAACCGTAGAAAATGAATTCCCTCCCGCAGCTGCTATTTGGAAAGCAGATCTATAAATGAGAAGGATTATCACAGTCGGCGATACATTGACGAGTACAGAAACGACTACTGTGAGGGATTGGATTCTGGGCATCCCCGTGGAGACCATGAAAGCAGATACCAGAACCATAGTAGCAAGTCCTCTGGCAGAAGTGGAAGAAGTAGTTACAAAAGCAAACACAGGACTCAGCACAGCGCTTCTCATCGCCGATCTCATGGGGTATGAGCTATTCAGAAACATTTTGAAAGTTTTATTTCCAATGTGGAGCAGAGAGACTTGTTTATGTTTGAGAAAACTATTTAAGGGAAAGTCATCTCAGTGCTGACTTGATTGTGCTTATGCGTTGGTTAGGAAATTTCTGAAATACAGTAGTGTAGTAGTTTTAATTATTAAATGGGTACTAATTTTTATTCCAGTGAAAAAGCGGTGTAATTTACAGTAATTAGAACTGTTTTGAAAGGGTTTAATGGTAGTTTGAAATGAGTTCATGCCTTCTTACAAAAAGTGGAACAGGCATTCTGTTTTTGTATGATTAGTTAGCACTAACAAAAACATGTTCTCCAAAAAGCATTCTGCAAGAAATTTAAATTTTAATGGTTAGGTATTAATTGGAGATCAATTGAGATGATATGTAACAACGTAAAATTAAATTTCTATGCCAAATGTTTTTTCTTCCCAAAATAAAGCTTCGGTTTTATTTACGGTTTTAATGTTTGTTTTCTTAGATTAGCTGGGAAATATTAATTTGGCCACAGTTTCTTTAACAAGTAAATATTACATCCTACAGTTTTACAACATTAAATTTTAGGACACTAGAAACTTAAAACTATTTCAGTGACTGCTACAATTAAGCATTTTTTTAAAAAAGGAAAACAATGTGTTTATGTTTTGTTGCATTACACTTGAGCATCTTATCTGAAAATCTGTTCCTTGCCATGTCTTTCTCCTGTTAACATAAACTATGTGCCCTGTGAATTTCTGGGGACTGAATTTGAAATTGCTCCTGCCAACCGTTTGTGGCCTGGCGTGTATCCGAATGCCTGAATATCTCCCCGCTGAATGAATTTCGTATTCTGCCCTGAATTCACTCGGGTATATTGATTGGCTGGATGATCTCGGTGCCGCCACTTGCCGTTCCCAGAAGAGCCACCGAAGGAAAAGACCCAGGAGTGTAGAGGATGAGGAGGGCCACCTGGTCTGTCAGAGTGGAGACGTGCTAAGAGCAAGATGTATAGACTATTTTTCAACACTTTTTAACTTTTCAGATAACATAATCTGTATATAGATTAAGATTTCAGGGCTTTGGAGATCTTTTTCTTTCTCTCTTATTTTGTTTTTCTATTTCTTTTGGTGGGGGGGATTATGTTATTTTGTTTTCTTTAGATATTTAATATTTGTTGTACAGAACTTCAGAACAGTAAATCAAGTAATAAATTAGCCTAAGAATGAAATTAGACCTAAAAGTAGTCATGCTTTTTGATGGTGTTGACCAATAAGTAAATATCTAGTGATAAGGGAATTTGTAACATCAACTAGAATAATCTGCATTGATAGATTTTGAATAATAAGCACGTAATTCCACTTCCTAGTATGACTGAGATTTATGTCTCTCTTTTAGATGAAATTGTTGATACTTTAGGTGAAGGAGCTTTTGGAAAAGTTGTGGAGTGCATTGATCATAGAGCGTAAGTTTATTGTGCTGAAATTACACTTGAGTCTTTTGGCTTAGTGGGATTATTTTGGCTTGATTCTAAGAAGTTCCCGGCTGAGGTACTTAGTTGCCTTCGTGTTTTGTAAATAGTGATTATGTTAATGGTATATACAGCTTCTGGGAAGGGGATCCAGTTCAGATCCCTGGTTCAGTGTCTAGTGAAAATAAGTGTATATAGTTCCAGTTTTAGGCTGATAAAATTATTTGAGGAGTCTCATCCACAATTACGGCCTTTGGCTCAGTAGAATAAGTGCTTCCCTGGCAAGCACAAGGGCCTGAGTTGAATCCCTGGTTCCGCAAAAAAAAAAAAAAAAAAATAGTAATCTTGTAGAGAGTAGGGTCCTGCTGTAGTCCAGGCTGGCTCAAACTTGAGATCTGCCAGGACTTACTGGTGCTGGGATTACAGGCTGTCCTGTCATTACCCACCCACCCCCCATCACACTCTCCCATGTTTCTCAGTCTTGGTTTTACATTAGAATTCTTTGGAATTTTGCTTGTCCCAGTTTTTTTCAGTGTGGTTTGTTAGCCTAGGTTAGGTTTTTTTCCTGCGTTTTAGGGAAGGGTCTACGGGGTGTTTAGGGTTTCACAACTAGGTCAGACTCTTAGTGATCCTCCTGTTTACAGGCTCTCAAGAGTTGGGATTACAGGCATGCACCCTGTCCCCAGCACTCAGAGCTCTGAGCTATTTGGCCAGCCGTATTTGTTCACTTTGTTCTTTTGTAACAGGGTCTCATTATGTAATGCAGGCTTGTTTGGAACTCCAGCTGGCCTCAAGCTCAAAGGATCTTCCTGCCTCAGCCTCTTTGAGTCCTGGGGGTTTACAGGCATAAGCCACTCAGTTTTTTTTTTTGTTTGTTTGTTTGTTTGTTTGTTTTAATACTGAGTGTAGGAGCCAGGAAGATGACTCAGTAGAATAAGCGCTTGCCAGGGTGTAAGGGCCTGAGTTCAATCCCTGGTTCCTCAAAAAATAAAGAGATAAATATTGCGTGTGGTGATTTTTTGTTTTTTGGTCTTGGGGAATGAACTTGGGACCCTGCACTTGTCAGGCAGGCACTTATTCTACTGAGCTGTCTCTGGCCCCATACTCAGTCTTGATAGCTCTTCTGCATAAGTTTTGTTGTTTATGTCCAGCAAATTTGGAGTTAAAACTCTTTTCTGTGGCCCACTGAGGAGGCCCTGATTTGATCCTTTTGTGAGCAGCGAAGCTCCCCAAGCAAGCTGAGGCTGGAGGCTGAGACCAGCTCTCTGTGCTTACCAAGGCTGTGTCCAGAGTCTCAGGATCCAGTGGGTGCAGGGATGGCTGGCAGGGACAGGCACGTGGGAGCCACTGCTGTGGTCCTCTTCACCTGGTGTCCAGATGAGAGCCATGGACACTGCTGAAGACCTCAGGGATCATTCTCGGGAGGTTGCCCAGTGAAAGGAGTTGGCACAGCTGCTGTGGTGGTTCCTGGCTATAACCCCAGCATCCCAGGGTTCCCCTCAGTTAGGCCAGCCTGGGATACCTGGGACAGTATCCCCAGGCCCCAGATGAAGAGTACCATCAGCGTTCCATTCAGAGGACTTTTCAGTTCCTTGAGTTGGGTTGTACTGAGGACTTGGGTGTGCTTGCTCCACCTAAGAAATCAATTCTCAGCTTAGAGCGATAGAAAATGCATTCTAAAAAAAAAGTGAATGTCACATTTATTGTATTTTAACTTGGACTTATTTTAACAGGGGAGGTAGACACGTGGCAGTGAAAATAGTTAAAAATGTGGATAGATACTGTGAAGCTGCTCGCTCAGAAATCCAGGTTCTGGAACACTTAAATGCAACGGATCCCAGCAGTACTTTGTGAGTGTCAGAGGGGAACTTGGGCGGGTGGGTGGGGCTGGAGGTTTGCGCTGCCCAGGGCTGCTGCACTTGCTCATTTCTTGTGTCCGTAGCCGCTGTGTCCAGATGTTGGAGTGGTTTGAGCATCATGGTCACGTTTGCATTGTGTTTGAACTGCTGGGGCTCAGTACTTATGACTTCATTAAGGAAAATGGATTTTTACCCTTCCGCCTAGATCACATCAGGAAAATGGCTTATCAGATATGCAAGTCTGTGAACTGTAAGTCCTTGGCATCACTTTCCAGAACTGACCAGGATAGCAATCCAAGAGCAGTTGTGACCTCAGAGTGGGATTGGGGATGTAGCTCTGAGCTGGGCTGTACTTAATAGGTGCCAGTTCCAAGGTCCCTGCATGAGGACCCCCCTCCCCCTGTAATACTGAGGTGAAGGGGAGGGGAAGAGATTTTAATCCACATGAAATGCTGCTGACCACTGCTGGGCCCGTGGGAAGGCCTCGGAGGCTGGAGGGGTGGGTATTTTCATATTGCAACAACTTTTTCTGTTTTTTTTTCTCAGTTTTGCATAGTAATAAATTGACTCACACAGACTTAAAGCCTGAAAACATACTGTTTGTGCAGTCTGACTATACAGAGGCGTATAATCCCAAAATGGTAAGTCTACTACTTGAGTTTCATGGCTTCAATAATGTTTTTCTCTTTCGTCTTCATGATTGATTGATTATGATTTTCAGAAGCGTGATGAGCGCACCTTAATAAACCCAGACATCAAAGTTGTAGACTTTGGAAGTGCAACCTACGATGACGAGCACCACAGCACGCTGGTGTCCACACGGCACTACAGAGCTCCTGAGGTGATTTTAGGTTAGTCGTTGCTGCTTGCACTTTGGGAGGCTGGTTGTTGACTAAGGCAGGCTCTAAGCTTGTTTATAGTTTCACTTTATTTTTAGGATCTTCCCTGCCCCCCAAACCGGGGCTTGAACTCCAGCCCTTGTGCTTGCCAGGCAGGCACTTCAAAACTCTACTGAGCCATCTCCCTGGCCCTTCTTTTTTTTCAATTTATTTTTTATTGGGAAACAGATACGAATGAGATAGTTTCAAAGCTGATTAATAAGGCAGTTTCAATAACCAATACATTGTGCATTGGTTGATTACATTGTATCTTCTCAGTGGTTACCCATAGTACAAGAAGCAGACAAGATATCCTGTCCAAACACTATTAGTACACATCTTCCTTCTCATTGAATTAAGCGAAAGTAGCTGCATATCTATCCTATTTTGTATATACAAATACAAAATGTTCTTTCCTTTGTATATTCTTGTCAGAGGGGGGTATTCTGTTGGCATCTAAATACTATAGGTTCTTGAATTCAGCAAAATAATCCAAACTTACTTTTTTGAGACAAGGTCTCACTGGTGTAGTCTCAAGTTCCACTGTGTAGCCCAGGCTGGCCTCAACTCACAATAATGCTCCTGCTTCAGCCTCCTGAGTGCTGGGATTACAAGCATGTTCTACCATATGGCTGGTTGTAAGATTTAAGAAATATTTTCTATTGAAAGGATCAGTATTGGGCTGGAGAGATGGCCCAGTGGTCTAAAGCACCTACTTGGAACAAGCTTGGCAAAGCACAGGGACCGCGGTTCAATCCCCCAGCACCACATGCCAGCCAGCCCTGCCTCTGGTGGGCTGAGTTGGCCACACGCGCGGGCGCGCGCGCGCACACACACACACATGCTATAAATAAATGTTAAAAAAAATAAAAGAAAGGCTATTTAAAAAAAGGATCAGTATTAATATAGTTAGGATTCGGGGTTATTCTGGTTAACTGGGTGTTTGAGCAAGTGGCTTAACCTTTCTCGATTGTTGCACGGTTGTGGTTGTCAGGGTGGGGTTGTGATCTGACGACCTATGTTGAGTGGACACAGCGCAGTATGCTCAGCCCAGCAGACTTCACATTGGACTGGTGTGTGTATACAGCTGATTCCTAGGAACTTGGACAGTGCAGTGGTGCGGGGAGCAGATTGCACTAGGGTGGTGGAATTGCCGCAGCTTGCACAGCATACTGGCCCTCAGCAGCCTCGATGCTGCCTGCTGCAGGCCCTGGGCTTCTCATCCTGGGCAGGTGCTTGAGCCCTGACCTGTACCAGCCAAACGTGGCAAATAGAGAACACTGTAACAAGTACAGTAAATGTGTAATGCAGTTAGCTACTGAGGGAGTGCTTGTAGGTGTGCAGTTGAACGTTTGTGTTAGAACTGTATTAGTTACTCTTTTCTCGTTGCTGGGACAAATAACCGACACTCAAAATGAGGAAAGGACAGGTTTATTTAGCTCACAGTCACTGAAGGTTTCAAGACACTGGAGGAGAGGCTGGGGCACTGCCATGTCCAGGATGACCCTCCACACCTCTGAGAAAGCACAGGCTGGCCAGCCAGTTCAGCGGGCTCTGCCCTGGCCCTCTGGCCCTGCTCCTCAAACCTTCTGACCCATAATTTACATGAGGCTTTACAGGGACAACTAGACACAAACTGGCAGTGCATCACAGAGCCTGCTAGGGAGGTGCGAGGTCATAAGTTTGTTTCCTGGCACAGACAAGAGCTGGCAGTGCAGACTTGACACCAGAAGTGGCATAGACACGAGTGATGGAGTGCGCCTGGAATCAGTAGGATGGGGGTTTTCTTTATGCCTTTGCCTGCCTTTGGACAGTGCCTATGTGTGAGTCCTCAGAGCGTAACTGTCAGTGCACGTCACATCCCTGTGTGAACCATCATGCAGCGAAACCCAGTTCCACAACCCCCAGTCCCACAGGTCTTGAGTGGACAGTCAAAACTGGATGGCTCCCAACCCCTAGTGCTGGTGTGACTGTAGTCCTGCCTGTATTGAGTGATTTCCTTAGGCTCTTTCCAGATGGTCATTTTCAGCAGTGTTCCAAAGTAGCTTGCTTTTTTGGCGGAACCGGGGATTGAGCTCAGGCCCTTGCGCTTGCCAGGGAAGCGCTTATTCCACTGAGCCATCTCCCCAGCCCCAGCTTTCATTATTTTTAAGAAACATCGAGTACTTTCTCCTAATACTGTTTGTTCTCTGCAGCCTTAGGGTGGGCGCAGCCGTGCGACGTCTGGAGCATAGGATGCATTCTCATCGAGTACTACCTGGGGTTTACAGTGTTTCCTGTGAGTGTCTGCTGTGTGGCTTGGCTCGTGGACATGACTGGTAATAGTGCATGTACTTCAGAGACAGGGTCTTATTAGCCTTCTGCCTCTCCTGCATGTTAGAAACAGGCTTGGACCTCCATACCCAGCTATATTTTGTGTTATTTTAAAACAAGTATGTTAGGAACAGCTGTGTTTCCATTTAGTGAAATCATTGGTAAAATTATTCAGGTTTGGGGGCCTTAAAGCGCAGGTCTTTAAGTGGCTGCTTCAACAAAACGGGCTCAGGTTGCCATGGTTCAATCCCCAGAACTCAAGCCAGCCAAACCTGCCCTGAAGACATTCTGAGCCAGCCTCCCCCCCCAAAAAAAAAAAAAAATTATTCAGGTTTGAGATTAATTTGTCAACAATAGTGGCTGTCATCTGGATTAGAAAGTGATTGTTGGTAACAGATGGAAAGGATGCACAGTACGTTGTCAGATTAAAAAGTGGGTTTTTATTTCAGACACATGATAGTAAGGAGCACTTAGCAATGATGGAAAGGATTCTTGGACCTCTCCCAAAACATATGATACAGAAAACCAGGTAAGCTTTCCCTAAGCCTTACTACCACGTGGCTCTGTGCTGGGGTTTAATTGTCGACATCATAAACATAAATGGACATGGACTTGTTTTTAGGAAACGTAAATATTTCCATCATGATCGCTTAGACTGGGATGAGCACAGTTCTGCTGGCAGATACGTCTCACGGCGCTGCAAGCCCCTGAAGGTGAGTGAGTGCCTGACGCCCTGCCCCAGGCCTTGACTTTTCTCTTGGCTTGGGTTTCTTTGTGGCTGAAGAATGAACCCAGGGACTTGTGCTCCACCCCCATGCACTTCTGTATGTATAATGGGAAAAATGCTTGATTTTTTTTCTCCCCCCCCTCCAGGAATTTATGCTGTCTCAGGATGCTGAACATGAGCTTCTTTTTGATCTCATTCAGAAGATGTTGGAGTATGATCCAGCGAAAAGAATTACTCTCAAAGAGGCCTTAAAGCATCCTTTCTTTTATCCACTTAAAAAAAATGTCTAGGGCCAAGGAGATGGCTCAGTAGAATAAGCACTTGCCTGGCAAGTGCAAGGGCCTGAGTTCAATCCCTGGTTCCAGGAAAAAAAAAAAAAAAGTCTAATTGTTCTCGTGCAGAGATAATGACAGACTGTATCAGTCTAGTTTTAAATACTAAGTTATTTCATACAGCTTTCTAAATTTCCTACATTTTTGTATTGGCAATGTTTATGTTTGGATAATTAAGCACCTAGCTAAGTAAAGTAGGGAATATCTTTCAGCAATTACAGGACGATGTATTGAGAATAAACTTTGTGCTTAGGAATATTTGAGTCCATACAATATACATTTATTTTGGGCAGTTTTCCTCTCACCTCTGAGGTTTGGGTGTGTTTATTTGTGACAGGGTGGTCTCTCGTTCACATTGGCCTTGAACTCTGATCCAAGTTGATCTTGAACTCGGATTCTTGGTGGTCCACCTCAAGTCTGAAATTGTAAGAGACTAAAAATTGGGACCTATGTCTGCCATCTAGAGTTTCTGCATGTAAAGCCAGGACCAGAGATATAACTCGGTGGCACAGCACTTGCCTGGCAAGCTCAGAGTCCTGAGTTCAGTTTCCAGTACCCCCCAAAAAAGCCAGGCTTGGTGCTACAAGCCAGCTTTTTAAAAGAAGATCATAAGTTCCACTCGCCCTGGCACCAAGTGTCACTGAGATCCTAGAGATTGTAGTACAAGGCCCTACTGACTATGGAGGACCCCGGCAACCTCGCTAGCATTTGTTGGGCTGCAGGAGGCCTGGTGATGTCACAGCAGGGTTGGCTGCGTGGGTCGCCCCAGGTGTTGTGGCCAAGGATGTGCCCTGGTCATATGTAGAACAATGGTTTCTCCACTAAGATGGTTATGCAGCCCACCAGGTGTGGTGCTGTTCCTACACCAGCATATCAGGACAGGACAAAGTGCTACAGTTCCTTATTTGCCTTGAAATGAAACGGACTAATAAGCCTCAGCTTGACAGGAACAGGCAGTCATGTGGAGGGTCTGTGCTAGGGCATCCAGTCATGTCATGCAGTGGGGCCTGGAGTCTCAGAGGGCGTGGTAAGGTGCACTGCAAAGGAAGCAGGCCCAGAGCTGCCCACATGGTACCTCCACAGCCACCAAGTAAGGCGAGGCCTGCAAGGCTAAGGAATGCACATCCAGCCCCGCACTGGCAGACAACTTTCTTAAAACATTGAACCCCAAATCCTCCAGCAGCCTCAGGCTTGTGTCCCCAGGCTCTTGCTATTTTAATGTTGGTTCTTTGTCTCCCAACGAGGCTTTGTCCTTGTCACTTGTCACGTGAGCAGACGGCATCCTTCCCATACACCTCATCCCACAGAGCTGTTTTGCTCCATGCTGCAGCCACTGCCCAGGTGCTCAGCATGTGGTGTCACTGGCCTCAAGTGGCAGAGTGGGCTCCGGTGTGGAGGCTCTGGACCCTGCCCGTGCAGGCCAGGCTGCAGGTACTCCAGGCCCACTACTTCGCTGCTGTTGGGGTTTCACTTGCAGAGGACTGGGCTTCCTCAAAGGACAGCAACCGGACTTTGGGTGAGGCCAGCAGCCTCACTGCAGGCCAGGCAGGGCAGGTGTGGCTCTTGCAGGCATGCCACACCGGTGAGCCCATAGGCAAGATAGGGCTGATTTTCAAGTCTAACTAGAAAGTGTCCGTGTTTCCTGAGCTGCTTGTGCTCAATCAGCTTAAATGTGTTTTTGTCAGGTTTGGGAATTTTTAGGTACAGCTTCACATGCTCTTTCAGCCTTGCTTTTCCTTTCCTCCTGGGGACATGGTGATGTGCCTGGCTTGTGCATCTGTAAAAGCTCCTGGTCTCTTCCAGCCCAGCCTGAAACTTAGCTGAAAGTCCCTGCCTCAGAAAGTAAGAACCAAGGGGCAGGATACAGGGCAGTGTAAAGGCCCTGGTCACTCAGCCTGGCCTGGCACCTGGCCCACCGGGTTGAAGAGGGTGAAATGTTGAGGCCATAGCTGGGTGGTGCAGCTATGCCCATCTTACCCAGCACTGAGGTCTGGGGTTTTCCCCTGTCCCTTTTCTTTGCTATTTTTTGATTCTAAACTTTACATCTGGCTCTTTGTCCATTTCCTTTTTCATTTTTTGAGATAGGTGCTCTCTGTAGTTTAGGGTGGCCTTGAACTCAACAGTTCTGCCTCAGCCTCCTGAGTGCTGGGATTGCAGGTGTGTGCCACAACTCACCTCTCATTTCCTCAAACCCTCTACTTCCTCATTATCAGCTGTATTCATCACTGCCCATGACAGCGCTTCAAGGCTGCTTGAGACTCACTGCTGGGTAATTGGTCTTGGTGCTGGTGTCTGCTGCAAATGGGGTTTGCATCTGGGGGCTTTCAAGTTTATCTAACAGGCAGCTGGGCAAGACCAGGGGCTCCCAGCTTCTAGCCACCTGTGCCACAACCAGTGAAATGGCAGTGTCCACTTTGCAGGAAGGCGGGTGACTTACTGTCACGGGCTGTGTTGATGGGTGGTGGGCGGCAGGCAGCAGGGCTGGGTGCCAGGAGCACCCCCACCTCACCCCAGCTTTCTGTCTTACTGAGATCAGTTGGCCTTATTCATTTTGCCTTCCTGAGGTAGGGCCTTCATGCTGTGCTATATCCCCAGCCCTTTATTTTTTGAGATAGGGTCTGCTAGGTTGTCCAGGTTGGCTCCTACGAACCTCCTGCCTCAGTCTCCTGGAATGCTAGGGCTCGTGGGCACCGATGGACCTGGCCCCATGTAGAGATCCATTGGTCTCACTGTGGATGGGTTTTACCCAGGGAGAAACGGCGGCAGGATGAGAAAGAGACACGAAGACAAAGCTGGGCTATGGTCTGCCTGATGTGCAAGACTAACGCCTTCTACAACAAAACTTACATTTATACCTGTGCAAAGCTTGTAACACGTGACAGAGTGGCCTAGCAACTAATAGCTGACCTTAACCAAACTAAGGATGTTTTATCTCAGGAATAAGGTAGCTTGTTTGCTTTAGGCACTGAGGCCCAGTCCCACCTACACACATTTGATCAATTTCCTAGCTTCCTGCAGCTCCCAACATAGCCCCCTCTTTCATATTGTTTTGTCAGAGATGGGTGTTCCATTGCAGTTAGAGAAGCTGTATTTGGAGAAGTCTTTATTTTTTGTGGTGGAGAAATCTTTAAAGGACCTTTTCATACTTGATGATAGCCCAAAGATCATAGGTACTCAAATTCTGCAGTATAACTCTATATAGTCCATAATAGTAGTGAGTCAGCACGGTTGGTAATTGTCAGAAGTTGTTGACTTGAACCTTTTAAAGCTTTGCATATTAATATCACATTACTTTTATACCTCATGGTTACACTTTCCTGATGGATGGTTAAGACCAAGTTAAAGCAAGACCTATATAACTAAAAACATAACTTTTGCTATCTGACAAGGTCAGTCATATCTCCTCAGGATTTACCCTGGAGCCATCCATGTACAGTATCTTGCGGATCTTCTATCAGGGTCAGCCGTCTGGATGAGTCACGGCCATTGCTTGACCAGGTTGCTGTCTGTGAAAGCCTAAGAAATTTTTTTTCTCTAGGAGACTCCTTAGGCACACTATATATATATTGTTGTAGCTCAAAAATTAGATGACAACGAGGCGAGTCCAAAAGTTAAAAGAAGTGTTTTATTTTAGCTGGTACCCAGTGGTGGTCTCTATGCAAGGTGCAAAGAGGCACACCAGGCATTAACAAGGTGCAGTATTTAAGCTTGAAAACCACGAAAATGGAAGGGGTGGAGAGGAAGAAGTGGCAGGGTCACTAGTTCATTAGGTGGTCTTATTGAGTGGGGTGCTGGAATCAGCAATCATGGGGTACGGCGAGTCATTAGTTCATGGGGGTTCTGTTGGGTGGAGGTGCTGAATTGGCAGTTATAGATCACTGAGATAAGGTTTGGGGAACAGATACAAGACTTGAGTCACAGGGGTGAGGAATTGGAGGAATTGGGAGGGGTCGGTGCATACAGAACAGGAACTCGGCGAGGTTAGAAGGGCAACAAAATGGAGTCAGTTTTGACAGGGTACTACATTCCCCACTGATTTTAAGCGGGTGAATCAAATCACTAGTTCTGGGAACAATGGCAATATATCTCATAGCAGCTAACGTGGTTTACTAAGACGGCACATTGATCAGGTTAGGGGTTATCATTGTAACATTAACAGCAGAGTTTGAGTAGGCAGTATGGCTTTAAATCTGGAGGAGGCAAAGCCAAAGAAACAATTATCTCAACAGAATAATCTTTTATGGGGCTGGAGAGATGGCTCAGTGGTCTAAAGCACCTACTTGAAACAAGCTTGGCAAAGCACAGGGACCGCGGTTCGATCCCCAGCACCACATGCCAGCCAGCCCCGCCCCCTGGTGGGCTGAGCTGGCCACACACACACACACAATAAATAAATGTAATAAATAAAAATAAATATTAAAAAAAAAAAAAGAATAATCTTTTATGGCCACCGGATATGTCTCAAACTGGCCTATTTGTTTTACTTATGATTATTTTAAAATTTGAGATACGACAATCAGATTAATATCTTACTTATTATTATTGTTAATGTTCCAAGCAATCTAAGTACAGAAATATGTGGGACTGTACTGAAATTACTGTGACATAGGAAACAACCAATAGCATGGCCAAATAGTTTAAGGCTGACGTTAGAGTGGTCAGGAGTAGGCTCGGGAAACACTTCTCCATGGTTGTTGCAGGTGGCGATGCTGAGCTGCTAGAAGTATTGGTGGACAGGAGGCAGGGACGCCAGAGCGGTGGACTCTCAGAGCTGTTAGAAGTACTCTTGGTGGGTTTTTATTTTTCTGGTGGAATCCCCACTTCCTACATGACAGGAGGCCTGGGAACCCCGTGGGACCATATGTAGAGGCCACAGGCGTTACATATGGGCTCATTTTTGGCGTTGCGGCGCCAGAACGAGGTGGTGTTTGTCTGGCATTTGGCGCAGGACAGGTCCATTCAGGCGAGTTGTTTGTACCGCAGCTTGATGGGGAGCTGGCTGCGGATGAGGGGCCAGTTGACGCCTCTAAGCTTGTGGTAGAGGCTGCAAGCATTGCATAGGTAGTGTCCTGTTTTGTCACACCGCCATTGTGGCGTGGACGTGTGGCCCCACAGTTGACACACTTTTTGTTCATCTGTTGGCTGTAGCAAGTCAATGGCTGTGGGGTTTTAAGACGCGTTGGATGGGGGCTGGTGAGATGGCTCAGTGGTCTAAAGTACCTACTTAGAACAAGCTTAGCAAAGCACAGGGACCATGGTTCAATCCCCCAGCACTGCATATTAGCCAGCCCCGCCCCCACACACACGCACCACACACACAAATAAAATAAATTAAAAAAAAAAAAAAAAAAAAAGACCTGTTGGATGGAAACGAGCACCGGCTGGAGGGCCTGGAGGGACTTAATGAGATCTTGGTTAGCAATCTCAGCAATTTTTATTAAGCGAAGCAAAAGTGGAGGAGGTCTCCCAGACATCGTTTTGAAAGGGAAAGTTTTAGAGATAAAGGGGACATTTGGCCCTTAGACGGGCACAAGGAAGGAGACTCACCCAGCTTTTGCCAGTTTGAAAGAGAGTTTATCCAAAATGGATTTCAGAGTCTGGTTTATCTTTTTATTTGGCCTGAGCTCTGAAGCCAATAGGCACAGTGAAGCTTTTTTTTTTTTTAATTTTTATTTATTTATGTGTGTGTGTGTGTGTGTGTGTGTGTGTGGCCAGCTCGGCCCACCAGGGGGCGGGGCTGGCTGGCATGTGGTGCTGGGGGATTGAACCGTGGTCTCTGTGCTTTGCTAAGCTTTTTCTAAGTAGGTGCTTTAGATCACTGAGCCATCTCACCAGCCCCACAGTGAAGCTTTTAATCAATTTGGAGAGTTTGGGCAAATTTTTTAGTAACTTGGGCTATGAAAGCCAGACTGTTGTTTTTTTTTTTTTTTTTTTGCGGAACCGGGAATTGAACTCAGACCCTTGTGCTTGCCAGGCAAGCACTTATTCTACTGAGCCATCTCCCCGGCCCAGGACCCCACTGATTTTA